CGACCTTCAGATATTCCATGGAGCCAGGCAGAAAATGGCTTTAAACAGCATCTCCTATCTCCCTGACAGCATCTCTCCATTTTTAGCTCTAGATATATATCACTTTATAGCATCCAAAGTGTTGTGCAAATGTTGCCCAGCTAATATCAACAGAAATCTCACTCCCCTCTCAGCCCATAACCTGTTACTGTCTGACTGCTCCTCCACTTCACCGGAGTCAGTCTGGGGAGTCATTTTTACTTGCTCTTCTGAAGGGAGATTAAAAGAGAATAAGAATAAAGGGAGCTGTTAATTTTATGTCACAGCTAGGAAACCACAGCTCTTCAGATCACATGTTCTCCCCAAATTATACTTGAAGGTTTGGTGCAAGTCTCTCACCGCCCTATTTTTAGGGTACCTACAAGAGAAGTTAACCCCAAAAGGACACAGTCTTGTTTAACCTGCAAAATCTGCACAATGCCTTACTTTTGAATAGGTGAAATACTGTTAATTACTAGGATACTATAATAGCCCTTGTCGTTTCACAGGGAGTTGAACTAAACCAGATTATGGGTCAGAAAACACTTTTTTTTTTCGTTTTTATTAAATCATTGGCAATTCCCTCTCTGGTTTATGGCATCTGAAATGACACCCCTGCCCCAAGAAGAGTCTTTCCAGATAAATAATGCTAGCCTGTGCCTGGCATCGCTCGCCCTCTTCGGAATTATTCATCACACTAGATCCAGGAAAAAAAATAGTGTTTACAGCCCGCTCTTCTCGCATTTTATTTAACTATTAGATACAACAGCAATTAATAGACTATTCTGATTAGACGTTAGAATTGCTAGGGGAGCAAGGGGTGGGGGAAATCAGGGGATTTAGAGAATTACTGCTCCAGTAAAAGAGCAGGGAGAGGATTCTTGAGCAGGGAATACTGCCTGCCTTTCATCTGCGGGGCAAGCAACACTCTAGATCCCCAAGTGCCCCCGTTTCTAGATATGATACTTATTAATTTGTACTAAAGGGTACAAATAAAAATGGTACAAGTTAAAATAATGGGAGTTTTACGTAAATAGGTTAGATTAGCATAATCTAGCAGAGATTATCCCACCATAGCACACTGCGAGAGCGTGCTCCGAAGCACAACACGCCGCGATAGCCCCGCAGCTCTCCCGCTTTCTGCCTTTGCCAGCCTGGAGGCAGCTCCGCAGGCCCCGGCGCTGCCCGGGATCCTGTCCCGGCGCTCCCGGCCACCCCCTGTCCCCCCATCCCACAGTTAAAGCTCAGGCCCCAGGAGAGACCCCGGTGCCCCGGCCCTGCGCACACCGAGCACCGCTGGATCTCATCACCCGGAGCCCTCGCTGCCAACTGCACGAGCAACACGGCACCAAAACCTGCCTTTTAACCCCCCCGGATAAACATTATGTAAGTTACGCTGCCATAAGGTATAAACAACATAAAGTGCACCTCTTTGCATTCCAGCGTGCTGTGGAAGACCATAAAAACACTTAATATATTATTTAAGCCAGTTAAGCTAGATAGCACAAGGGCAGTAATTAGCAACAATTCTCCAAATCCCCATATGCCAGACAAAGGATCATGCTTAGCATTTTCAGGCTGGTAGGAGGGAATGAGAACGTTGCAGAAATTAAATGACACACACTTTTCTTATTCTGCCTCTCTCACCAGAGCCTACATTTCACTATAGCTATCCCACTGCAATATAAATAAGAGAGACTGAAAGCCTCCACAAAGAAGGCTGGTCTTTTTCCATTATTTTAATTGCTAAAAGGGTGCTCAATGTTTTAGGAAAAGATAGGCCACTTCCCTCAATAGATGCGTTCTGTAGGCCAGGAGGGAATTTCCTCTTTCATAAAAATAAAACCTAAAATACAACAAAAACACCCCAAACGTGACTTCCCCCGAAAATTCCCTGAAGTAAGGGGTAAGTCGAAGTTTAAAATACCCCAAGCAGGAGCCCGGCTGGAGGAGCCTCCTGCCTGGGACTCCTGCTGCTCCTCACGTCTATAGCAGGGAGGGCAGTGAGCAGGGCAGCTCCCGCCCGCGACGCTTTACGGGATGTGATCCAGCAGTTTCCAGCAGTTTAACGGGAAGAAGATAAGTTGCTTTGGATATTAAAAAAAAACTCAACTTGTCATAGACTTGTCTGGGTGAACAGCAGCAAAGGGGCAGGGTTTTGAACACGCCATTAACACTGCATATTCGATTTGCATAAAACCCTCAAACATTCCCAAGGATCATGTGAAGGAAGGCCCTGAGCTGCTCTGTTTCTCACTGGCTGCCAAGTCAAAGTACCGAGGAAGCTGATAAAGCCCTTTCAGTTCCTCAGAACACCAAGTAGCTCAAAAAAACCCTGAGATGAGCAAACACCATTAATAAGCACACTAACATCTGGCTGGAAGCCTGAAGCGAGAATCTCAACAATAAACCTGCTGGAGGCACAAAAATCCTGTAGGAACTTGAAGAGATTCATCTATTGACAAGGAGGTATCCAGCACGTGAGATCCATCGTTAGCAGCACTGGCTACTAGGGGAGGTTTCACCAGCTGCATCTTCCAGGAGAAGATTTTGCCCGTCTGGGGAGTTTTCTCAAGAAAAGACGCAGATGGTGAAAGGGATCCAAATGCGTTTACGGTTTCCTGTTTAATACCTACGTGACACTGGACACAAGCAGTGCTTGTGGTCTTTACCACATAGTTCAAACGAGTGATTAAACCAACAACTCCCAACAGTCGGCAAAAAGAGGCTCCTACAATGTTTTAAGATACTTTCAATCGTATCACACGGAAACAATAGCCAGGCCCAAGCTCCCTTTTGGATCTCTCCCACTGACACAGGATCTATTAACTGGAGCTGTATGTATTGGCAGCAGACCCGTCTCCAGCCAGCTGTGATAGTTTGCATCATGCTGAAGCACCACGAAAGGAATTTCCAGCTCCCATTAGCAAAGCCTCCACCCCACACCCCAGCTCTTGCACCAGGTGTCATTAATCACTCTATGTAATGAGCTGTTCACCACCCTCTCCATAGGAACAGGTTACTAAGAGCATTCCTCATTGCAATTCCTTCTCAGTATCACACTGAAATCCATCTGACAATGCTCAGTTTGGTGTTTATATTTAACTCAACCACCTGTACATTCCGCTGATTTTCAAGTATAATGTAAAATACCTGTAAATCTGTATGCACTTGTCAGCACTCGTTCCCTGAGACCTATCACTAAATAAATATTGCATCAGGTGCTTGCGTATAATATATGCAACCTGACTCATCAGGTCATACGTGGCATCCACACTAAAGCTGCATAAAACAGTGAACAGCAGCAGCATAACCAGAATATCTTCAGAAATATTTTCTTTTTTCTCTGTGCATAATCCTGCACTGGAAGAGCTACTCCACCTGAGCAGTTAGACAATGTTTGCACTTTCACAGCTCACTGAAAGCTAAGGGACTCAATAAATAGCAGAAATTATTATTCACAAAAGAGCTATCGGGGACAAGGAACTTGTTTCCCCGAGGGGTATCGGTAGTGCTGCGCGTCTCCGTCTCCCTTCCTCAGCTGAGGGGATATGGGATGTGTGATCTCTGTGTATTCCTGACTTCCCCCTGCCAATTAGGCAACTTTCAAAGGATTCCTGACCTGAAGCAAGCCGTATAATCTGCTGGATACACAGCATAGATGTGGTCTGGGCTTGTGCAGCCTTCAAACACGATGGGCTTCAAAGGGGGAGTTCACGTTGCCTTCCGGAGGAGCGAGGGCAGGGACACAAGCACCGACACTCACTGACCCCAAGGCATTCTCTGTGCCTTGCCAGGACGGATTCATCCACAGGACACGATGTGAGGAACAAAATGAACTGAAATCCGATTCAGTGCTTCCAAAAAAATGCCAAGAGACAGGAAAAACTTACAGCTTCAGCAGCCAGAGCACGGCTTGGCACATCATGACACAGTCCAACAGTAGAAAAAGTGTTTTGCAACCTCACCTGTCTAGTCCTTTCCTGCTCTGCTGCCGTATCAAGTAATTCCACAGAGGACTAGTAAATCACTGCCTCTGTGGTGAACCCGGTTAATGGGCAACTCTTCAGCTTAATGAGAGCCTCAGAAGAACGTCCAAGGAAGTTCGCGTCCACTTCCTGGTTGCACATTTATTACAGTGGCTGTGCTGTCTGTGTGGCATATGCCAAAAACAAAGAACAAAGATGGATTTTTCAAGGGGACCTCAAGGCTTTCTCCATCCTCTGAAACCATGATGTGTACACATGATAAAAGAACCTTTCCATGCTATAATCACGTGTTTGTGGAGGCTGTAATCTCTCGGGTGCACAGATATGGCCATGCAAATGTGAGTTATGCCTGTGCTAGCCACTGACTTATGTCCCCAGGGCTCCTGAACAGCTTTTAATCTAGGTGCCAACCTGTACAAAAGCCCATGCTGCAGCAGCTTCACTGTTCATAGCCAGGAACACGACGTCCTTGGATAACACCTGGCCTGAGGTGAGCACAGGAGACGGCAACTTCTTGGTTTGGGCATTAGCAGGGCACAAGGAGCCGCCTGCCACAGCCACGTGCAGCAGAGCCAGGGCAGGGTGTGCAGCGCGTTGAGCCATGAGCTGCTTTCAACATCTCCTTCCGCCCAGCAGCCACCAACAGCAGCCTCAAGACACCTACCTGGGCTGTCTTCATACCTTGGCCTTGCTGCACAGACCTTGCTTTGTGCTAGGTAATATACAGCATAAAATCCAAGTATAGACTTAGAGGGTGTAACCGCCTCAACTGGCCCAAGCAAACTGCCCTGCAAGGCATGAAAAGGCAGCTCGTCCTGGCCTCTGCCCAGCCAGGACCCCAGCACAGAGCCATGCGGAGGGGAGAGCTGCACACACACCTCAGGGGGGCTTTGCTTAATGGATTTCTGTCATTACTGAATTCCACCGCAGATAAAGGCCAGACTTCCATATAACGGCCTGGAAACAAGAACCAGCCCGTTCCGAGGTCCATAAATGGGGCTTTTCCAAAGTTACGACCCGCAACCGCAGCTCAGCGTGACCCTGGGGGTGCTCAGTGTGACCCTGGGGGTGCTCAGTGTCCCCTCCTGCAAAATGAGCTGCTCCGAGAGACGCTTGGCCAAACGTGGCCTCCCTTCTGCCCCGGGGGATCCAGGCCCCTCCGCACAGCCCATTTGGAGGCACTGGGTGAGCAGAGCCCTGGCAAGCAGGGTCACAGGGATTGCCCCAAGCGCACGGGGACAAAACAGCCACGCAGGCCCCATGGGGCAGGGCATGGTGGCATCTCAGCACGTTTCTCTTATGAAAGCATTTATCCTTGAACTGAGCCTCCAAGACTGAAGAAAAAAGTGTCCCTTGTACTCCAAGCCTTTCCAGACTTCTTCCTGGCAAGGCCAGTTTACTCTTTCTAGGAAGCAGAGTTTGCTCCCAGATGTCACCCACAGGTGACCATTTCACTACCAGGTCCCTTTCCCTGTTGCCATCTCAATTCCCAGTCTCTGGCTCCCTGCAAGCTCCGTCTGCAGGAACCACCAAGAGCCTTAAACATCCTGAGCATGAACAGCATGGAGAAACGCCGCGTTTTCCATGGATTTCTCTGCACCGCGTTTCCATGGGGCTGTTGGTGCCGGGGGCCCTGGGTGCTACAGTTGGTGGAACTCGGAACCGAGTCCCGGTCGTCCGGGCAGCCCCTCAA